AAGGGTAAAATTTTATTTTAACCCCTGAACTTCATATAAAATTTTAATTATTGATTTTTTTATAAATCTAAAATAGTTTAAGGATAAATTTATAATTCAACCTTCGTAAAATTTTTATTATTCAATGACAGAATAAGTATATTTTTGTAAGAAATTTTTTTAAGAGCATTTATTATTTAAATTTAAATTTTAATAAAATTATTTTTATTAAAAATAATTTGTTCTTTATATTTTTTTGTTAATATAATAATTCAAATTTTTAAGGCTTGGGTTATAGATGCCCCTATAATAGACCAAATTTATCAATTTCGTTCCTATCGTATTTTCGTATTAATTTTACCCTTTAAATTATTTAATTGCATCAATTTGTACCTTTGACCATTTTGACTAACAGAACTATTAATTTATGGTTTCGTGGACGCCAACAGTTTCCACGCTAGAGGACTAAATTTGTGATTTTTCCTTTTTTCAGAGGATTTATGTTGTGATTTCTCCTTTTCTTTCTTATACTACCCAAAACTACACAATTTTGGAAACAAATATGTATCACCATTTTAATATTTTTTTCATTTTATTTCCCCCCCTTCCATCTGTGCTCTTCACTTAGAGTGTGTTTGGTTCACGAAATATAAGATTACCAGTGGGAATAAAATATTACCAGAGAATAGGATTACTAGGATTGTTATATTTTGTGTTTAGTTGGTTTAGTATGAATGTAAAGATTATCGTGTTTGGTTAAAAGAATAACAGATTATTGGAATGTATATTTGAACAAATTGTCCTTATTATATATATATATATATATTTTAACAAGTTGAAAAATATTTATATATTTTCTTTAAAAAATTTAAATTCATAAAATTTATATAATTTTTTTTACAAAATTGAAAATATAAAAAGGTTTAATGAAAGGGTAAAATTTTATTTTAACTCCTGAACTTCATATAAAATTTTAATTATAGACTTTTTGTAAATCTAAAATAGTTTAAGGATAAATTTATAATTTAACCTTCGTAAAATTTTTATTATTCAATGACATAATAAGTATATTTTTGTAAGAAATTTTTTTAAGAGCATTTATTATTTAAATTTAAATTTTAATAAAATTATTTTTATTAAAAATAATTTGTTCTTTATATTTGTTTTGTTAATATAATAATTCAAATTTTTAAGGCTTGGGTTATAGATGCCCCTATAATAGACCAAATTTATCAATTTCGTTCATATCGTATTTTCGTATCAATTTTACCCTTTAAATTATTTAATTGCATCAATTTGTACATTTGACCATTTTGACTAATAAAACTATTAGTTTATGGTTACGTGGACGCCAACAGTTTCCACGCTAGAGGATTAAATTTGTGATTTTTCCTTTTTTCAGAGGATTTATGTTGTGATTTCTCCTTTTCTTTCTTATACTACCCAAAACTACACAATTTTGGAAACAAATATGTATCACCATTTTAATATTTTTTTCATTTTATTTTCCCCCCTTCCATCCGTGCTCTTCACTTAGAGTGTGTTTGGTTCACGAAATATAAGATTACCAGTGGGAATAAAATATTACCAGAGAATAGGATTACTAGGATTGTTATATTTTGTGTTTAGTTGGTTTAGTAGGAATGTAAAGATTATCGTGTTTGGTTAAAAGAATAACAGATTATTGGAATGTATATTTGAACAAATTGTCCTTATTATATATATATATATTTTTAACAAGTTGAAAAATATTTATATATTTTCTTTAAAAAATTTAAATTCATAAAATTTATATAAATTTATTTACAAAATTGAAAATATAAAAAGGTTTAATGAAAGGGTAAAATTTTATTTTAACCCCTGAACTTCATATAAAATTTTAATTATAGATTTTTTGTAAATCTAAAATAGTTTAAGGATAAATTTATAATTTAACATTCGTAAAATTTTTATTATTTAATGACAGAATAAATATATTTTTGTAAGAAATTTTTTTTAAGAGTATTTTAGTCCAAAACGCTGGTAATCCAATAATACTTAAGGAAATGGATATAATGACATTCCCGATAATATATCCTAAAAAATCTATTATTGATAATATAAGATTAGCAATACATTCCCGACCAACCAAACGGAGAATGTGGATTATATTCCCATGGGAACCTCACATTCTCTCAACCAAACATATTCTTAAGGTTTGATTGCTCCATTGGTTTCCAAGTATTTCACCGATCGATCACCGATGACCACCGTATCGGTCAACATCGTTTCTCGGCTCCTTCGAAGTAAAACAACTCCATTCGCCGCCGCTGACCGTCTTATGGTGTCGTCACCGGAAAAAAGGAATCCACAGTATCTTTTTCTTAGATCTCATTTATACTTGCTTGTTTCGTTGCTAGATGGTTGGGATTCGAACGAGTTTACCATTGCCGTCAAAATGGGAGATTGTAGCGCAGCTGACAGTATATTTCATGGAAGAAGATTACACCAATTACTGGATTCATATATTCCTGCATGGCAAACGGGGGTATGAAAAAATTCACAGGATGGACAAAACCTATTTTGAAACAGCTGAACAATTCAATTTATTTTCTGTTAACTGCTCTACAATCTCCCATTTGACGGCAATGGTAAACCCGTTTGAATCCCAACCATCTATCAACAAAACACATTCAGTTTTACATAAATCTTGACCGGGAAAATAGGGAGTAAAGTAGGGATTGTGAGGAAACCAAGATTTTTCTGCCTCCATGGATTTAGAACAAGCAGAGCAGTTCAATTTATTTTCTGTTAAGGGAAAAAGACAATCAAGGACCTATTGATGGTCTCCTCGATTTTTCATCGGTTTGATTGCCGAGAATTTGATGGGACCCTTTTTTAAGTACAATTTATTTTCTGTTCATCCAAACAACAATTCAATTTATTTTCTGTTCGGTTACCTCCTGATGTCTTCCTCGTTGTCTGTCTGGTTTGCTTGCTCTTCTCCTCCTCCTCCATCGTCAATGCCGATAACAACCACGACCCCTGAGTTTGTTTTGGTAAAGCTTCCATCTTTAAGACCAAGACAGTGTAATTGTTTACTTAAAAATATTTTTTTTTGTTATTGCCACATAATCATTTGATCATCAGTAAAATTATTTGACATGAAAACAGTTGGCATCCAAGTAAGTAGAAACTAACGATTTTATTAATCAAAACAGTCAAAAGTACAAATTGATATAATTAAATAAATTTGAGAGTAAAACTGATACTAAAATACAATAAAAATAAAATTATAAATTTAGTCGGGACATATGTGACCCTTATTTTTAAGTAGGATTCAATTTAAATTATAGATATAAATTTTTTAATATCAAACTGAATTTGATGAGGTTTTGTAAAAAAAATATTATAAAATACATAATTATTTATTTAGTTCTAATTTTAATTTAAATATTTTCATAAAAATATTTTTAACATATACAAAATATTTAATTTTAATTAATATAAACTCTAATTTATATTTTAATTAACTCTAATTAAAAATGAATATTTTTGCATATTTTAACATATAAAAAATATTCAATTTTAATTAATATAAACTCTAATATAAATGTCAATAGTAAAAATAAAAAAATTCTAATTTAATGGTTAAGTAAAAATTAAAAAAATTAAAGATTACATGAGAAAAAAATGGAGAAAAAATCACATTAGCTTTTCTCCCAAGTTGTCAACAAATATAGCTTAAACAGTCCATTATACCTATATAAAACTTTTAAACTCATGAAATTAATATGTATCAAACTATATATATATATATTAAAATGTTTCTAAAATGTATTTTTTTTTAAAATATGCTTTCTAGAAATTTGGGAAAGCTCGCCCCACAGGAAGTGCTGTCCAGTTGTCCTGTCACCTTAGCTCAAGAAGTTTCCCCAAGACGTGCCTCCTTATGAGAGTGCTATTATAGTATATATTTGATTACGGATGTTATTTTGGTATATTATAATTTATTGGGTAAAAAAACCATAAATTTGTGTGTAGTTGTATTTAATGAAATGTGTTTGTGCTTTACCTGATATTCTAATAAATTGTTTCGAACTTTTCATTGAATAAAGGTAATAATTGAAATTTATTCAATTTCAGACCAAAAGAAGCGCAGATCTAATGATTTACATGAGGTTTGAATTACACTTTGATATGAATAAATCCACCTTCAATCTGCATATATTGTGTCCTCTAACCCAATAGTTATAAAGGACAAAAGCCCAAATGACTCTGCTACTTGGGTTTTTAGCCCAATAGGGCAGCCCAGAAAGTTTTTTGCAAAATAGGCCACATACACTTTTATTTTGGGATTTTTGGCATTTTCTACAATGCATGGAATAGTTCACCTCGAGGTGACGAGCTCGATTAAAAAAAATATTTTTATTCAATTTTTTATGTTCGATGTGAAATTATAATAAAAAATTATATTTTATTGAAACTAATCACTTTGAGGTGACGAATTTGAATAAAAAATATTTTTATTGAAACTCGTCACCTCAAGATAAAAAGTTTGAAATTTACTGTAGTATTTGTCGTATTCTCCAAAATAAAAATCCAGACGCTTTAATGGGTTAAATAAAAAACCCGAAATCCGTAATCTGAAAACAAAAACTTGCTACTTCACCTTTATTAACAAACATGCCTTTCAGCCCAATAAAAAGGCAATCGAGAATCCCTTGGTTCAAACCTAGAATTATAATTACTTCTACTGCCATTTACCTCTCCCATCTCGTTCACAATCATCGGTCTTCTACTTTCTATCCACCCTTTTCAGTAAACCAACAGTCGGTTTTTCATTTGCAAAAGTATATTCATTTTTAATAGGATTGCTAAATTTTAATTATTTAATATATTTTAAAACAATATAGATTAAGATTTTCAAATTTTGGTAAAAAGAAGTATTACATTTATTAAGAAAATTCGAGTAACTCCAATAAAATTTTAAAATTACATATATCAATTCCAATGTATACGGACAGAAACCATTGGACAGAACCCTGTCTGTTTTGAACGGTTCAATTCGTCAAGCATATTTTTTAAACACGTGTCGGTTTCGCTGCACCAACCGTGGCGTTTATTTCACGAGTGAGGACGACGAACGAAACATCCGAGAAGCGGGCCAAAAGCCATAATTTAAACGAGTACAAAAGAAATTAAGAAGGGCAACGTTTTTCCAAAGAAAAGTCAGTACAACAGGTGACTTGAAATTAAAAAATTGAAAAGAACGGCACCCACCGTCGAGAAAAGCAAAAGGAAAGTGGTGGGAAAGCACAGGCATCGGATACAAAATGTCATATCACTCCCCCATCGCCAAAAACGTTCTCCTCTCAACTTCAGATACGTATATTATACATATGACCTGTATTTTACATTCGATAGTAGGCAATATGGGCCAATAGAAATGGCTCCATCGACTCCAAACACGGTTTTTAAGGACTAACAACCATATGGGGATGCACAAGTCAATCTGGAAAACATATTAAAAAAACGTGTTACAATTTGACAAATCAAGAAATTAAAGGACGTATTTGTTTAGTAAACAGTTACTGGGACACGTGGCTGCTCTATTCAATGACTTTTGAGTCTTTTCCATTTTGTCACCTCTCGGTGCATTCTTTTACTTAATGTAAAATTTCAAAACGAGAAGTGAATAATAAATAAGGTACTTTTGTTATTTGCCGACGCCGACTCTTTGCATTTTCCATGTGTTCAACTAGGGATGGCAATGGGTCCTGTATTAGACCCGAATCCGTAGATCTAAATCTATTTTATAGAGTCTGGATCTTAAAATTTTGGATCAGACATATCTAAATCCTCTTATTAAAGTACGGATTCGAATCTAGATCTGACAGTAAGATACCAGATCTACACCCGTTTACCAATTTTTAAAAAAAATCCACCTTTAATTTTAAATTAAAATTAAAATTTCACAAATATTAATATTACATAACATTAATATTAATATATATATATATATATATATATATATATATATATATATATATATATATATATGACATAAATTATTATATTACATAACCTTAATATTAATAGTTAAATTTCGCAAATATTTTCATTAAATAAATTTTTCTTTGTTTGGTTGTTTATTATAGGATGGTGATGATTTAAATATTGATAAAGACTAGCATTCTAAGAATATAGAAGTGTTGTACTTGGCTTGAGATAATAGAATGTTTCATGATTTATAGTTTTTAATGTTTGTGTTATTCAAAAGACATTTTGTGTAATTGTGTTAGAGTTTTTTTTAAGAATTTAGTTTATCGTTTTTTATTATACTACTAGTTGTATTGAAAATAATATTTCCTCCACTAGAAATGTGATGCCAAATTAGTCAATGACATTTTTATTACGTTAAAAAAAAGTAAAATGATTTTTTTAACATACCCATTTAGACTCGTTTTGGACCCAGATCCGTGAGATCCATTGAATATGGAATTGAGTTCCAAATTTTCTAGACCCGTGGATCTAGGACGGGTTTGGATCCAAGATGTAAAAATAAGTCTGGATATAGGTCTAACTTGATTCGATCCAAATCTGTCTCGTTATCATCCCTATGCTTAATTACTACTAAACTTTTTAATATATTTAATAACTAAAATTAAGTAAATATAATTTTCAACTAAAAGTTAAGATTTATAAATAGACTTATTTATCCAAATATCACCATTTAAAAATTAATTTTAATATGCATTTGATATTAATTTCTAAAATTAATATTTTTAAAATAATACTTTTAAATTCGTAAGACAAAATTAATCATGTTTTTAGAAGGTATAAGCACGACTTAATTTAATATAATCATTCACGTCTATAAAACTACAAAGATTAAAATTATAATTTAACTCCATGAATTAAATATATATATATAAGATTAGTTTATATAAACATAATTAACAAAATTAATTTTATTAATATATTTTTACTTATCTAATAGTTGTAAATATGTATAAAATTAAAAAATATATATATTATATAGGTGAATCCTAACTTTATATATGCTCGATATTTTGGTTAAAAACCCGTAAATTAAATATTTGGTAATTTCTGATCCAGCATATATATATATACATATATATATAAAAGCTGTAGAATCTGAGAAAAGTTACCTCTCCTTGCGCTTTTCCAGAAACCGCTGCAAAGACTTCCTCCGGGCAATTGGTAAATCTGCATAAATTTTATAATATTAAAAATATTATCAGTTTTCACACGAATTTAGCAAGTTCAATATGCAAAAAAGGAGGAACAAGAAGAAACTGACCTTCGTCAAGAGTTTCAAGAAGCTGTTGTTGTTGATCGCTTGAAGGAGTTGCCACTTCTGAGTCTATTGATTCAACTGTCTCTGAGACTCCTTCAACAGCGAGTTTTAAGATGCTCTCCGCCTAATCAAAATTTTATAGACACGTTAATGCCATTGATTTTATCGGGTAATTAATTTTGTATATTTCTTTAAAAGATTTTAAATGCAATGATTCCGTACAACGATTATTGTTAAACAAACCTTATCACGAGGTAGATTGAAAACGGAGACCGTTCCATTGTAGAAAATGGTCAAGGGAGCTGTTCCAGGACCATTCTCAGGCGCAGCCCTGAATAAATGAGGATTCACAACTTTCGCGTCAGAAATTCGAAGTTGAAACCCGTTTCATGAAAAACAAAAATTATATAGAAATTAAGGAACTCGTTGAGTACCTGGCGGCGGAGGTAAGAAGAGGTAAAGCTGGAAAAAGAGACTGGGTTTCCTTGGGACTCGAAGGGACCGAAGCAGATTTGTTCGACTCAATCTGATCCTGACTCGGTGGGTTTGTCAAACCAGAGGAAATCACTGATTTGATCATCTCCGGATTCATCTTCGAAATGGCGCCTTGAAGACCTGTTGAAAATTAAATACAAAAGTTTTTCAAACATTCAAGATTCGTCCACTAAGAAAAAAAGAGAGGAGTAGATTTAAACGTACCCCGGAAACTTCGACGGCGATCGAGGAATTTCTGAAACTGAGATTTGGAAGAATTCTCTTTCTCCATGCCGAAGAAATCAAACTCAACGCCAGCCCTCGACATATTGTTTTACTTGAAATGAGAAGACAAAATTTTCTTTTCTTTTCTTTTCTTTTCTGTTTCTTGGATGAGTGTCGTGAAGAAAACCTATATAAAAGGATGGAAGATGAGAGTTGAATATGAAGAGGCGGAGAGCAGCAAGGGGAAAAGGCTTTAAATAATAATAATAATAATAATAATAATCATAGATTAAAATAGAGATTACGATCGTATTTTCGGTCACATCGTTTGTTTGTCACGATTACGGACATAACAAATGTTATTGTGGGATTTGAGAGTATCGCGGTTGTACAATAACGGTCACAAAACGTACCACAACAATTATTTTACAAGTTTTATCGCTGCGTACCGCTATTTAAATCTTTAATAATAATAATAATAATAATAATAATAATAATAATAATAAAAGAAATAGGGACATGACTTACAGATGCTATATGTGTCACTCTTTAGAGGCCAACCATACGATTGTTGTAGCATAGTCAAAAGTGAAAGATCGCTTTTCTAAATATCACCAAAAAATTTTTTTATCGAATTATTATCCATCATAAATTAATTTTTAACGACTTTAAAAAAATAAAAAAAATCTTCTGTGACTATAAATCGAATTGAATTCATAAAAATTAAACTAAAATAGAAGGTATAAAAATTTATTTGAATTTACCTAATATACGTGTCATTGATATATATATATATATATCAATGACACGCATTTGTACATGCATAGATATAGATGGCGTGTGTGCGTATATAAGTATTTTTTTAACAACAGCTAGCTCACTGTCGATCGACTAGTATTTGCAATGTGTTGTTTAAAATCATATCAAAGATGCTTTGTCAATCGGATGCAGGGCCTATCGGAGAAGTGCATTGATGAGGCTCAAAACACCTTTGTTTCGAGTAGGCTAATTTTGGACAATATTATTACCGCCTATGAATTCTTTTACTATTTTGTTTGAAAACGGGAAAGAAAAAAGGCCACTTTGCGCTCAAGCTGGATATGAGCAAGGCTTATGATCGTGTAGAATGGTAGTTTGTATGGGCAATAATGAGTCGGATGGGGTTTTCTGCACATTGGATTGGATTGTTGAGATCGTGTGTTTGCGCGATTGCTTATGCAGTTATTATAAATAGCCAATCGGGTGACACTTTCATCCCACAAAGAGAATTAAGACAAGGTGATCCACTTAGCCCTTATCTTTTTCTTCTCAACAGCGAGGCCTCTCTTCACTCATTAGACGAGCGTGGGACATGGGTCAATTTTCAGGAGTCAAAATCAATATGTACACCCTATTTATTACTCATTTATTATTTACTGGCGATTGCCTTATTTTTGGAGATGCTAATCTGAGAGTAGCGATGAACCTAAGAAGTATTATCTTCCGGTATGGTCAAAGCTATGGCCAAGTGGAAAATTTTGACAAATTAGGATTGTTTTTTTAGCTCAAATATCCTTATTGAGACTATAGATGATGTTCGTTGGATTTTGGAAGTCACTCACACTTTGAACCCAGAAAAAAAGGGCTTCCGGCAATAGTGGGACGGAAAAAGAAGAAGGAATTTATGTATTTGAAAGAGCGTTTCCTACCAAGGATTAACTCGTGGAGTAATTGCTTCTTATCTCAGGGTGGACGATAGGTTTATATAAAATCGGTTCTCTAAGCCTTACCCATCTTTGCTATGAATTGCTTTCTTATTTCTAAAAGTCTTTGTATGAAGCATGAATGAATCATGGCTCAATTTTGGTTGCAGAAGTTGACACATAAGAGACCATTGGTGTTCGTGAAAGGTTATGATCAATCTGAAGAATAATGGTGGTACGGGTTTAAGAGATTTAGTCAAATTTAACATTGATTTTGTGGCAAAAAAGTGGTGGATATTGTTTTCAAACCCGACCTACTTAGCAAGTTAGTTGGTTCGTGCCAAATATTAACCCAACTTAAATTCTACGCACATTCGAAGTGTTCTATCATGTTTCTTTTGAAACAATATTGGTGCTCCACAGGGTGCCTTGGAAGGCCTGATGTAACTTGCATCAATGACTTCCTTCAATTGTTTGCGTAACTCTTCTAATTCTGGTGAAGCCATTTGATAGGATGCTTTGACGGGTGGTTTTGCGTTTGGTAGAAGTTCTATTTTATGGTACACTTCCATTTTTGGTGGTAATGCCTTAGGCAGTTTGGGAGGCATTATGTCTGTGAATTCGGTCAATAGTTGTCCTACTTCCCGTGGGACATCTTCGGTTGCAATTTATGTCTCACTTACTAGTGTTTCCAAGAAGGTCAACTCCTTCTTGTCCATGTCTTTGGAGAATTGTATTGTGGATAGAACCTTGGCCCCCACTATAGGTTCTATTTTAACTGGGATAATGCATTGATGCTTTGGGTCTAAGATACATAACATTCGACAAAAGAGACTAGCAAGACATTGATTTTGTCGAGAAAACTTAACCTGAGTACCACATCGAAATCATCAAGGGCGAGTCTATTTGCGACTTGGTCGGAAATGAATAGTTCTGAGACGTCGGTGTCCCCAAGTGCACTTAGTTTCTGCCCCTTTATGGATATGTTCATGAATATTAGTCCTTTTCTCTATCTACCCTTATTGACTTCCATGGTACTGATGATGGATCTAAGTTTAAGAGTCTTAGATTCCTCTTATTTTTCATCGGTTCCTTCGATGACAGAAAGTTGATTCTTTTGAGGGCACTCCCTAGCCAAGTGTCCCAAACCCTTGCAATTGTAGCATTGGATGTGTTGTTTTTCTTTCTTTTCCCTTTGTTGGGTTTTGTTATTCGATGGCTTTCTTGTGCCACTCGATTTTTTGTCCGATTTTTCTTTGAATGACTTCTCCTTATCTATACTTTTGGCTTTATATTTTGATTTAGAGGAGTCATATTTTCGAACCTCAAGTTATATGAGTGACTCACAGATAGTCAAAGTTTTGGTGAGAACCGTGACTCTTTGACATTCTAAGTCGTTCTTCACCCATGGCTTCAGCCCATTTATGAAGGTGAAGAACTTGTAATATTCTCTTAGACTCGGGACTTGTAGGCTTAACTCGACAAATTGTTGAATATGCTCCCTTAGTGGGCCTTCTTGCCTAAGATGCCTTAGTTTTGATCGTGCCTCGTTCTCGTTTCATCTCAGCGTACTTACGTCGCCATCATAAGAGTGCTAAATCCGTTAAGTAAACAGAAGCAATGTTTACCTTTTCAGTATTGTTCTTGATACCCATGGCTCGGAAGTATTAATCGATGTCCCACATAAAATTTTCCACATCTTTGGTCGATCTGGTCCCTTTAAACTTTTCTTGTTTAGGGACTTCAGTCCGAACTTTGGGGGTGCTAGTCAACATACTGCCAGTCATGACAGCCTTGCACAAGGCTACCTCGGACTTGAGCTGCTCGATCTACTTTTTCAGGTTTTCGACTTCGGTCCCAGAACCCTTATTCTTAAGTTCTTCGACCTCTTGTCTTAGAGCTAGGATTTGGGCTTCAACAACATCTTCTTGTTGAGAACTCTTCGTATCGAATCTATTAAGTGACGCTTGCACTTCCTCCTGGATGTTCTCCAAGGCTTCAAGCTTCTCGAGATCTAATGATTCGAGCTTCTCAAGATCGATGGATTCTAAAAAATCAAAAACCTCATTGGTCTCTCTGGTAGAGTCTTCAAGTTTAGTGATATTACCTTAGAGCGATGTGATAATGTCCTTCGTCGTTCCTCACTTGTTCTCTGTGTTGCGAGTCTCGACCCCCTCGGATGGTGCTGCCTCGCCATATTATGGAGCCATCTCGTCTAGTCACGAAGTTGGCTCTGATACCACTTGACACGGGAAGATACTGTTGGCTAGCTGGTCTGTGTGACCCTTAGTCACTTTGCTCGGTTGATGTGTGCTAAGGCAGCCTTGAAACCTAAGTTTGGTTGCTTATTTTGTCACGAAAGTAAGCACAAAGAGAGTATGAACGTAAATAAGAGATGCACGAGAGTATACTTCTACTTTAACTAAAAGTACACCCTTATTTTAATTGAAAGTCTAAATGTTGAATCCTACTTAAACAATGATGGTGGCTTTGTCCCTTTTTTTAGAGATGGTCGGTCTTAGCTTGGAGAGGGCCAGAGTCACGGTGTGCTCAGCCATATCCAATTCTAATGTGGGCTTGACACATCCCTTGGTGCGTTTTGGGGCAGACTTGGCGCGCCGCCTGATGCATCTAGCATGGGAGTGCTTTAGTGAACGCGGATGTGCGCTGGTGGGTGTTGGACTCGCCCTCATGGTCGCAGTCCGTGACAATATACTTTTAAACACTTACTAAATAAGTGATTGAAGAATACTCGTAAACACTATCATACTCATTGTCTAATTCATATTGTAAATTTTATTCTTTTTCGATAACATTCGTATAATTTTTTCATATATATGACTTTTTTTTTACTTTCTTCCATTCTAACCTATTATTCTCACAACTATAATATAACGAGAATTATTTTATGGATTCCGCTCACTATATCATCCATGGTCATAGTGACTTATATTTATTAATTTTTTAAAATAACTTTTAAATAATTGCCTCTTTTTACAATTAAGAAAAAGATGAATATTTACCTTAAAAATGAGATGTAAAAATATTATTAGTTGAAACTATGAATAACTGATGTGTAAGTCATCTAATAATTTTTTTATAATATTATGTTGGTAAAGACATGACGTGTAACGATCACTTTTAAATATCATACATAACATAAAAAGATATTAATTTAAAAATAATTTTAAAAAATTATTATTTTAGGAATTAAATTTTAAATAACGATATTTAAAATAAAAAAACAGAAAGCCCAAAACGGCTTGTTGAATTTGTTTAAATATTATTTAAATTCGCATTATGTTTATTTCTTTGTAATTGGTAATAAAGACATCTTAGCTTATCTCGTCGTTTCCCACGTTTAGACAATTACAATCGTGATTTCTAAAAAAAATTAAATTATGCATTTAGTAATTAAACTAACAGTTTTAGTCTATTCAGTATTTAAATTTTTATTTTTTTAAATCATACTTAACATTTAGTTTTGATTTTATTTTAGTATATCGTCGTTAAAAACTTAATATAATA